CTTATTCTATTTGAAGTAAGGGCTGTGCTTTAATTTCAGAATCATATTAATTTCCAGAGAGGGAAATGAAAACAGATTGCTTCAGTGATACATGTCCACACACACACACACACACAAAAAAGGCTTTGAAAATGGCATGAGATAGACTCATAAACGTGAAGTAAGAAAAACAAAACCCTGATAGCACAAAAGTGAACGCAAGAGTTACAAGGCAGAAGTGGGAGGAGCCAAGTGTGTACCCCTCCCCCACGACTCTCTCCCAGGGGGCGGGACATGCTTGGTGGCCCACAGCTGACCACAGAGCTCACTGTTACCTTCTGCATTGAGGCAGCCTCCTTTACTCATAGGGATTTGGGAGGGTCTGATACAGCAGTATTGAAACCAGCACAGTAGCTGAGACAGGGCCACTGTTGTGTTCCATTTCTTGGGGCGACCCAACAAACAAATCTGTTCACCCCAGACAAGGCCCCTCCAACACACCAAAGGAGCCCACCAGGGAAACTTAGTGGATCAATGAGCTCATTGCCCTTATCTGCAGCAGCACAGGTGAGGGGTTACAGTGTGGGGGTCTCCAAACAGTCGCATCATGAAAGCCACACCCCCATCATGGATGACAACCCCATGGAAGCCACATTTTAGAGTCACATTTTCAGCGGACCTTCTATGCCCTAGACACTCTAGCACTCCCAAGATCACTTGCAAAGGAAGGCAGGAGGGTGTCATGCAGGAACCCCGGGTGAAGATCCAGCAACCTCCTCCCCTCCTACTCCAGAGTGTTAACTGCCCGACCCGTAATCACGGCTGTATTGGTCTGCTCATTTCACTGCCATGGCTACTGGACCCAGGTTAGCTCTACTCCAAGTGTCATCTGGTTATACCTGGAAGAAAGAGCCATACCACACAGGTATAAACCTATAGTCTCAGCTAGGTGGGGGAGAGGGGATGCTGCTGGGGCAGAAGGATTGAGAGCACCAAACAAGCCATCCTGGGCTACATATCAAGAGCCTGTCCCAAATAAAAACAACAACAACAACAACAACAAAATAAGGAACTGGGGACCCACACCTATAGTCCAGCTACTTGGGCAGCTGAGACAGCAAGATCATTTGAGCCCAGTAATTGGAGGCCAGCCTGGGCAGCATAGGGAAACCCTATCTCAATCAATCAACTTGAGTGAACGAACCCTCCGGGGTATGACAGGTCTGAGCCATGACTAAGAAGGCCAATGATAGACCTCCTCTCACTTACGCCACATAAGGAGGTGGCCTTCCTCCCAGACAGACGCTACCCTGGATGAGAAGATTGGGGCTCAGGCCATAGAGCCGTGCTCAGAAGCTTGGAATGGGGAGGTGGCACCATCCTGGATACAGGCAGCAGGAGGTGGGGCGGGCTTAATGCTTTCCTTCATCATTCTCAGCTGGAACCAGCACTGGACACTGTTGGAACAGCACAGAGGCTGCATTAGTTCCTTTCCTGTTGCTGTGATAAAACCCATGACTAAAAGCAACTTGGGAAGAAAGTGTTTATTTTGGCTTACGGTTCCCGAGGGAGAAGAGTCCACCATGGCAGGAAGCTAAGAGCTCATATCTTCAAATGCAGAGAGAGTATACTCTCAAAGCCCACCTCCAGCAAGGCCACACCACCTAAACCTCCTCCAACAGCACCACAAACTGGGCAACAAGTATTCAAACCACCCCAATGATAAACTACATTTGTTCACGAAAAAGCAAATAGGTCCCTGAGACAGCCATACAAAACACCTAGCGTTTGCCTCCTTCTGAGCTACCTGGTGCAGACCCAGAGCCCATCAGTCACACTGGCTTCCGGAAGTGCTGCCTGTGAACTGCCAAGCTCACATATGGCACCTCATCCGATCCACGGAGGCCCTGAGGCAAGGAGATGAAGCTGCCTTTGTTTACCCTCCCTGCCCTGTGGGTCTAGGGTGAGAGAGTGGGGTTGGGGAGGAGGCTGAGCTTGAATCTGGCAGCTGTTTGACAAGCCCCAACACCCTAATGGAGAACGGGACAGTGGGAATATTCTGACCGCCACAGAGCCTGGGGAGGGCCCAGCACCCACAGTCATCACAGTGTGTGCCACGTGAAAACACCTCAGCTCACATGTTAAATGTTGGTCCTCAGCTGATGGCGCTCGGTAGGGAGGTTCTGGGAACTTTAGGAGGTTGGGGCCTGGCTGAGAGAAGCAGGTTACCGAGGGATGGCAGAGAACATCACTAGACCTAGAAGCAGGAAGCAAGGCCAAATGAAGCAGGACAGCTTCTCTGGGCCTCTGTACTCAGTCATCAGGCAGGAGGTGGCATGGCAGACAGTTCACAGGGACGGGGCCTGCCACCCTTTAACACCAGACGATGCCTACCTGTTCCTAGTTTCATTTCTGTTGCTGTGATAAACTACCTGGTCAAAAAAAAGCTGCGCAGAAGGGACTCGCTCACTGCTGACATTTCCAGATGACGGTCTATCAGAGCAGGAAAGTCAAGGCAGCAGGGACTGCAGCTAGTCACAGCCACGGTCGGTAGCAGAGGGAATGAACACACGCACGCTTGTGCTCAGCGAGCTTTCTCCTCTCTTATACAGTCCAAGACCCAAACCCAGGGCATGGTGCCACCATGTTTAGGCTAGGTCTTTCCACACTGGTTAAGGTAGCCAATCCCTACATGCACGCCCACGGGCCCATCTGATGTAGACTGTCCATCACCAAGACTCTTCCTAGGTGATTCTGGGTCGTGTCGAGTTGACAGTTAAAACCATCTGCCACACCACTCTCCCCCAGGTCCTAGGGGAGGCAAAGCTAGAACTTCCCGTTTTAATTTGGACCGTGTCTTCTTGCATCCTGTTGACAGATGTATTGTTTCCTCTTGTCTTCCACTCACGCCAGCTCCGCCGTCTTTCCTTGTTGAGCTTGCACTCCTGCCCCATCTCCTCTGCGTCTGCCCAGCCCTGCGGCTTGCCTCCCAGGAAGGCCTGCAGTGCAGGGACCCACTCCAGCTTCCATGGTGGAGGACTGGACAAGCCACACACCACTGGCATAGCATACGCAGAGCTACCTGTCGTGGACCAGGGGGACTCACAGGAAAGTCCCTGGTGCTGTCATCTTTCCAGCTGGTGGGAACCCTCAGCAGAACCCTGCAGCACCGAGTCCTGGTTTGCTTTGTCGTAGGGACAATGTAGTGGCCAAAGCTGACCTTAAGGGGGATGGCCACTTCGGTGATGGGAAACTCCTTGCCAGCCCTCCAGCTGGATGCCTTCTAGAAACTTCTAATCAGCCTCCATTGAGGTCATGCCTTGTTGAAATGGGCAGAAACACTCGATGGGGATGCTGAAAACTTGGACATGTGTGGGAGCGCACGTACTTGGGCTCAACTCTATTGTGCTGCCAAGTAAACATTGACTTGGTGTTTAGGTTCTGTCAATATTTACCTCTCGAGCTGATAAAACCTGGTGTTTACTTCTTCTGACTGTGGTCCGCTGGCTGGCTTTTCTTCCTACCTACCGTTAGCCACAGAGCTTGAGAGTGGGGGTTGGTGGGAAGCAGCAGGTCACAGACCCCTCATGGAGTAGAAATCTGCAGGATGCTTCTCCTCTCGGGCCTCACAGTTCCTGAGTGGTTCTGAAGATCCTGGCACCTGTCAGTGACATTCACTGGCTCCTAGTTGCATGGAAGAAGCATAGAGTGTGTGTGTGTGTGTATGGGGGGGGGGCAGGGTACTGCCTAAGTTTACAAATGGCAAACGTTGGAGGAGACAGCTTTCTAGTTGACTGGACTAAACACTCAAATTGGTTTCATCTGGCTACACACACACACACACACACACACACACACACACACACACACACACGCTCAATCCATGCACCGACTCATGGTGTTTCAGTCAACAATGGACTGTATGACAGTCCCTGAAGACCTTAATGGAACTGAAAAACTCCAGTCACCCCATGACAATATAGTTGACACGTATCCATCATAGTGCGACCCAATCCGCTACTGCTTGGAAGAAACTCCAGAGATGCTATGACAAAGGATCCTTGAGTCCTCTCCCAGCATCCGGCTTCTGTCGATGGGTACTGCTGGAGGAAGCAGGGGTCCCTGCAACACCTCCTAGCCCTCTTACTGACACTTGGTGGCTCCTAGCTGCATGCAAGAAGCACAGAGTGGGGAAGCTGCCTAAGGTTTGCAGTGCCCTCAGGATCCAGCACAGCGGAGTCCAACATCAGCACCCACAGCAATGCCAGGTTAACAGATGCTCAGCGACCAGCATCCCTGGCCCCAAGAGCTGGAAGGTTGTCTGTCTTGACCCCTCTACTGCATCAAGGGCTCCTGAGGAGGGCCTGGGATCCCACCTCTTGCCTTCAAAGGACAACATCTTTCCTAGAGATTTAGACAGGGAAATGGCGAAATTAGGGCAATGCCAAGCACACTGTGTCCTGCTCTGGGGAAGGAGGGGTCGGGCAGCAGTGAGAGGTGTGATGTGATGTCAGTGTCCTCCAGGTGCCAGGGTGCAGGCACACCTCTGGGTGTGTCTGTGTGGTTGGTTCCAGATGAGATCAACATCTGAATGGGAAGACAGGGTGAAGTCGATCTCCCCAGTGTGGTGTTTATGCCTCGCCCAGCCCACTGGAGACAGGCACAGACTAAAGGAAGGGTGAGGGAGCCACACTTGCCAACCGTCCTCAAGCTGGGCAGAGGTCGCCTCCTGTCTTTGGAGGGACTATCGGTGCTCCTTGGCTTCCACTGACTGCACATCTTCCAAATGCCAAGGAGGTGTGAGTGTATTCCCGTGCTTGTGCACACGTACACACACACACACACACACACACACACACACACACACACACACACACACCATTTTCTGAGAAGTGTGTTCTTGGATGACCGTCCCAAAGTACACTTACATAAGGCTAGGAGGAACAGGACAGTCACTCCACACGGCCTGGATATGCATGCTGGAGTGGAGTATGATAAACATGAAACGTGTGAGGCTGCTCTCGTGACCACACACACTTTTTATTTTATATATTATACTCGCATATATAAATATTATATATCCTTTTATTATAAAGAGAATGGGCACCCTGTAAAATAGCAAAAAAACAGTGTCATCAGTGAAGACAGCAGCCCCACCGCCACCCAGAGTCGCCGCTGAGCACAGCGCACTGCTCTATGATGTGGGCTGGACTGTATGACTTACGGCAGAGTAGGATGCATCCCACAGCACCCCAGACACACAAAGCATGCGCCGGGCTAGGACATGATGGCTGTCACTAGAGGATAGGAATTTTTCAGCTCATTACTATGGTCATACATGTGGTATGTTGCTGGCCAAAACATCATTACATGATATGTAAATGTGTGTGCATGTATGTGTGTATGTGTGTGAGCATATGTGTGTACATGTATTGTATATACATATATGTGCAGGCTTGTGTACATCTGGGTGTATGTATATGTATGTGCACATGTGTATATATGCATGTGTGTGAACACATGAGTGTGAGTACATATACATTAACATGTGTGTATAAATTTGATTGTGTACAAATGAGTACACATTTGTGGGTGTATGCTCCCATGTACATGTATGCACATGTATGAATTGTGTGTACATGTGAGTGTGTACACATGTGTGCATGCTCCTGTATGCATGTGTTCACACATCTGTGTGCACACATGTGAGTTAGTATGTCCATGTGTATGTGTGAACATGCATGAGTGTGTGCACACATGTGTCTGAGGATGTGAGTGTGTATGTGTGCATGTGCATGCATGTGCACACACATGTGTGAGCATTATGCAACTGTGTGTGAGTCTGCACGAGTGTGTGCACATGTGTGTATAAATCACCTCTCCACATCCTGCCAGTTTTGCTTCCTGCAGAGCTCTGAGGTACCAGTACATGTACCCAGGTGACATCTCACACTTCCGACCAAGCTTCTGCCCACTGCACCATTGATCCTGAAGAAGATGAGGCTATGGCATCTGTGAATGACCCTGAAGAAAATGATGAGCATGAGCCTGATATCCTGAAATGGACACAAGTCAGCAAGTCACCTGTGCGTGGCCCTCAGCCATCGGGAGCAAAGCTCAGAGCCCACAGGAGGTCAACAGCAAGGGAGTGACCCATGTGTCCAGTGAGACCCCTGGGGAAGCAAATGAGACAGTGACATCTGGTCCAAGGGCTACCAGATGGCAGGGCAGCAACCGAGGGTGACGATGATCTCAAGAGGGGTTCAGCGAGGGATGAGGGCGAAGAAACTGAGAGGAGGCCCAGCCCCAGCAGGAAGGCTGATCTCACCCAGACTCTGCCTCCCACAGGATGTGGGGTCCGCAGGGGCTACGCCTTTAGGTGCCGTGGGTCTCTTGCTCCTTCTCGCAGCTCAGAGCCAAGAGCTCCCGCTGTTGATAGGCGCCTGCTCCTCTGTGGCCCTTCTAGCCTCAAAAGGATGACTCAAGACTGGGCACCAGATGTGACATGGCAGATTTGGGGAGCAGGTATATGAAAGACAGATCGAAAGCCATGTGCCCTGGGCCAGGTGCCACCCGTGTGCACACCTCTCCCGTTACATCTGCCAGCCACCCTCACCCCTTGTGGCCCTGTGCTCTAGCCACACATGTAGTTTCCCAGAGTCAGGGTGAGGAGGACATGGGGGCGTGGCAGGTGCCTCAGCTGGCTTGTGCACTGGGCTCAGAGCAGCACGGTTGCTGTGCCTTTCCCAACTGGCATACCCGAGGGGGGTGCATCACCCCTTAGCTCCCACAGCCCTGTGGTTCCTGTCTACGGGCTACCTCCAAAACCAAGCTCTCCAGGCCTGGGTCTACACACACTCACCCTGCCACTCCCAGGGAGAGTAGACGAGCAGCCACAGTGGAGCAGCCACAGTGGAGCAGCCACAGTGGAGCAGCCACAGTGGAGCAGCCACAGTGGAGCAGCCACAGTGGAGCAGCCACAGTGGAGCATCCCAGCATCTCGCCTGCCTGACTTCCTCCCACAGCAGCAAGACTCATCGCACTCCACTGCGAAACCCAAGAAGGCACTGTTCTCTGCGAAGACTGGGAGTCTCGCCCCACCCTACCCACAGCAGCCCCAGCCCCTTCTAAACTGACACCCACTTGTGTCAGTGAGGTTCTGGAGCCACGACACCCCAGAACATTCTTGGAGGACTGCCGAGCCCTCCATTTCCCAAACCATAAGCCTGGCACCACAAGGCTCTAAGCCAGACAGGAAAGTGGACCGCACCTGCCGAACACCACCTCTTTTCTTGGAAAATCTGTGTCAGGTTGGCACACCGTACGGTCGCCTGGGAGGAGTGTCTTAATGAGGAGTTATTTAGATCAGCTTGGCCTGTGGGCAGGTCTGTGGGGGATTGTCTTGATTGTTAATTGAGGTGAGGAGAGCCACCCTGAATGTGGGTGGCATCATTTCAGGAGCTGGGCCCTGGCCTGCGTGAGAGTGAAGAGAGCCAGCTGAGCAAGCGAGGACGCGGTTGGTCTCCCGGCTCTGCCTGCGCTTGTGAGGTGACCAGCTGCTTGAGTTCCTGCCTTGACTTCCTCAAAACGATGAGCTGTAACGTGGGAACTGCAAGCCCACCACGTGCTTCCCCAGTGCTCTGTTGCCTGTCGTCAGGGTGTCCGCCACAGCGTGAAGGGATGCCCAGAGTGAAGCTGCGGTGGGTTCACCGTAAATTCCACCAGGACTTTCAGGTCTTGGTTTTGTTTCCGAAGTGGTGATTCCCCAGGTGATGTGGAGAGATAGGCAAGCCCAGGACAAAGGTCCCTGGTCGTGTCCAGACTGCAACCAGGTCCTTCCTGAAACAGAAATCATGACTCTGAACTTCCCGGAAAACCAGTCCATGCCTCTCACCTCATGTCACCTGAGAAGAGGGAACACCCCTGCTTTCTCTTTCCCGGCATTGCCGAAGCCCTTCCCAAACATCAGGTTTTCATTGACTTTGTAAGGCTGGTGTCCCGATGACCTGGGAGGACACACAGAGCTGAGGACAGTGGAAAGCAGCAGAGCCAGGCTGGGACCCAGGAGTCCAGACCCTTGCTCAACCAGGTCAAGTCTGAATGAAGGTCTTGACCACGGTCTCTCCACAGCCGGAGCCAACCTGCTCTCTGTTGCTGCGAATCTGTACCAAAGATAACAACTCCAAGCGCAGAGCCCCCTCCAGCGCCGTCACCCAGCAGTCATCTTGTCACTTCCGCAGTCCTCTCCCACTTCCCATCTGGGTACAGTCATAAAGGAGAGGGGAGGGATGCCCTCCCCCAAGCCTGCCCAGGGCCAGTATCTCCCTCTCTCGCCATCTCCTCCCTCCCTGCCGCCTCACACGCTCACACTCTAGAGCTCACGGCAGAGGCCGGGAAGGGTATCTCTGCGACAAACAGAAACCTGAGGTGCAGGTCACAATGGATGTAGGGACCCAGATGCCCTTTGGAAAATTCCAAAGAAACACTTGGAAATTTTCTAGAAAACTGGAAGCTTCCATTTCTGTGACAGAGTGCCCTTCCATGTCCAGCTGCAGCTGCTCCTAATCATGGACTTGGGTAGAGGATGGGGTGCTCCTGGCATCTAAAGGATGGAGCCAGGGGTGATGCCCAGGCTCCCACGGTACTCAGGCTAGCACGTGAAAGGGTGGCTGTAGAGAAACCAAGCCCAGAGAAACTCCAGCTCACAGCACACAGAGCAGAGGCAGGGGAATGCTCACGAGCAGCATCACCTTTGCTAGTGCAAAAGTGTGACTCAGGTGCCATTGGGAGACAGGAACTAGGGTGGCTTCAGTCGGTGCACTCCACAGCAGGAGGGGAGAAGGTGGCAGGTGACCAGAGATAAGTGTCACCATGGAGTACTCAAGCCGTGTTCCTTCTGGGAGGTATGCTAGGACTTACACACCTCAGTTCCGTCCTAAGCACTGAAGTCACCACGGCTCTTGGACCAGAGAGAACACGGGATGCTCTGAGCCCAGCACGAGTGTTCCTGCCTGCCATACTAGTTAGTTTCTCATTGATTTGATCAAGTACCTGACAAGTAGCAACTTAAGGAAGGGACCGTTATTTGGGCTCACAGTTGGAAGGGACAGTCCATCATGGCGGGAAGGCTTGGCGGCAGGAGTCTGAGGCAGCTGGTTACACGGTATCCACAGCAGATAGGAACTAGGGTTAGGTTAGAAAAATCCCAAGGATGGCCTTCACTGACCAGTTCCTCAAGTGATCCACTTCCCCCAGTGAGGCTCCACCAACTAAAGGTTCCACAACCTTCCCCAAAAGTACTAGAAGCTGAGACCAAGTATCCAAACACATGAGCTATGGGAGACATTTCACATTCAAAGCTCAGAGCTTGGGAACATGGATACGGGTTACCCTAAACGGTATGTCCACTGCGGGAGCCATTACGTGAATTTATTAGGAACATCAGGTAACCAGGTTAGCTATGCAGGGAAATCTCTGCTTTAGACTTTAAGTGCCATCCAATGACATTTTAGCTTTTAGGTTGGTGGCAGCTAGTGAGTGGTCTGTATGGTTAATATACTCTAAAGGTTTTTCCTGGTAGCTAGAAGGATGCTCGGTCAGACACTGGAATGAGTCCAATCTTGGTTGTCAACTTGACACATGCTAAGAGGGAACCTCAATTAAAGAACAGCCTCCATCAGATTGCCCTGTAGGCAATCTAGGGGCACTGTCTTGATTGACAATTGATGTGGGAGGGCCCAGCCCTCTGTGGTCCTAAGTTTATATAAAAAAGCAAGCTGAGTAAGTCATGGAGAGCAGGCCAGTAAGCAGCACTCCTCCATGGTTCCCACCACTGTTTCTGGATTGAGTTCCTGCCCTGACTTCCCTCAGTGATAAAATGTGATTGGGACATGTAAGCCTGTAGGCAGAGTTTTCCTGTCCCACAGCCGCTCTCAAATAATCACTCAGAGGCTTAATATAAATTATAAATGCTCAGCCAATAGCTCAGGCGCGTTACTAACTAGCTCTTATAATTTAACCCATTTCTATTAATCTATGTGTTGCCCTGAGGCATGTGGCTTTTACCTCTATCCCATTTTGTATGTCCAATTCATTCTCTGGCTGGCTGGCGACTCCTCTGACTCTGCCCTCTCTCATCCCATCATTCTCAGTTTGGCTTTCCTGCCTAACTTTACCCTGTTCAGCTACTGGGCAGTCAGCTTATTTATTAAACCAATCATAGCGACATATATTCACACAGTATATAGAAGAATTATTCCACAGCATAAGCCAAATAAACCATGTGGCTAATTTAGTGAACCCCGGTTCCCACTGCAGAACTTCAAGGAAAAAAACCTCACATTTAAAAACATGAGCTTACCTAGAGGGCAGCTCAAGGTAATTCCACTAAAGTCAACACTACATGATCTTCCCAGACCACGTGCTGCTCCCATGTCAGGCCAGTGAACTTCCTCACAGGTCTCTTCAGCAACCAGACACCTCTCATCCTTCTCATCAGGATGAATGCCCCTCTTACTCATTTGGGACTCTTTCTGGGCTTCCCCATCCTTTTTTCTGGCATCAAGCCTGAGCCTCAGTTCCACATGAAGTTGGGGGATGATCACTTTCCCCAGGGCTGGGACAACTGCTCAGGCCAGCAGGCATTAGGTCCCAGAGGAGGCAGGAATGCTGACATCACAGGTAAGGAAGGACCCAGGCAGAGACCACTGAGCTAACTCAGCATCCTCCCCTGCATCCTTGTAATGCTGTTTGCTTTGTTCAGGGAAATAGAGCAGCAGAGGAAACTGAGGCACTGAGCTCCAAATACTGGGTTGTTGACATAAAAACATAAACTCTGCTTTGAGTAAATAAGGAAATAGTTCATCCTTCTCCAAACACCAATGGCTATGGCTCAGGAATTCAGCCAGCATGACATGTCTCCCCACAGTGAAGGTCTCCTGAACTTTCATGGTCACAAAAATAGAACACCATGAATCAATGTGTTTACACAATACACAGGCAGGGTCATGGGGAAGGCTGTCACACAAGGTGGGGAGGGGAGTGTCACAGGAGCGTGTCAGAGCGTGTCTGCGGCATTCACAGCCATTGCATTGGTAGAGGGTGGGTGTGTCAGGCTTAAGCACACATTCCAAAGGTTTTATGGAAGTCACAAGGCATTGGGTGACACTTAGAGGTTGAAATCATATGTCTGTCTTTTCACGATCATTTTGGCTTTTGACCTATAACACTCCAGCTCTCCATAATCACAATGTTCTACTCTGCCAAGGCCAAGCCATCTGAAGGGTCATTGGGTGTGTGCAGCTTCTTCTGAGAACTGTGGTTCTCTGGGTCACCCTGGGCAGCAGAAAGGATGGGTTTGGCTTATCAGTACGACCTAAGACCCATGCACAGCAGCCCCGCACAATTCTGGATGTGTCTCTCAGGAGCTTGAGGGTACTGCAAGCTCCCCGGCTCCCATATACTAGTGGTCACAAAGGCCTTCTGGCAATTCTGGTATACAGTTAGGGTCTTCTGGGGTGCCAAGGCATAGCATGTTGTCTTGCTCCATGGGGGTAAGGGTTCCAGCTTTTTCTGGACAGCCCTCTGGGCCAGCCGTTCCCCAGTTCTTGCTTCTTTCCTCTTCCTTGCCTCCCCTCCTGTGAGTCAGGAGCCATGAGGGCCCACATGTCCATAGTATCAGCTCTCAAACATGGAGAAAACTTACATAGTTCCCTCCCAACCAGCATCACCAGGGGCATGTCTGACCCCCCCCCCCCCCAGTAGTGCTGGGTGTGAGACTGTTGTTATCTGCTTAAATGACGGACCACCTATCTCTAAGCCGACCAACAAGGTCTGCCACAGCAGCACACAATCAGAGCATCCACAGCCATAGGCCAAGTCCAACCACAGCTGCTGGGTGGGGACTGCAAGTGGGTGCAGCAGGCGGGCCTGCGGGGTTGAGGGAGGACTTGCCCACCTCTCACCTTGGTGCCTTGGTCCGCCTGGTCTTCATCTTACAAAGACACCAGTCAGATTGCATTAGGGCTCCCCCCAATGACCTCAGTCTGCTTGAATGATCTTGGCAGAGTCCCTGCTTTCAAACAAAGTTCCTTTCTGTCATGGGGCCTTCTGTTTCTTTGCGGGATGCTTTTCAGCGAACATGTGGCTGGATGTACCGGAGTAGGCCCTGTGGAAAATCCTTAGGAGAGTTAAGGCTTCACGGGAGGCTGTGGCCCAGGGAAGACACAGGTATGTGGTATCTAGCGGCCCTGGGTTTGCTTCACACTGTCTTCATGCTCAGCTCCAGAGTCTCTCTCCTCTTTCATTCAATGTAGGGTTGACTCTGACCTCAGCTCCTGGAAAAGGCCACAGGTAAAGTCCACAGGGAAAGAATGAGGTCACACAAAGACAACTTGTAAATACCCATGTCCTCCTAAAGAGAGAGAGTCTAAGGGCCCAGGACCACCCTGTGGGCCCAGGCACAGCATGCATGAGGGCTAGTGTGTTTATTATGGTGTGATAATTGTTTATCACACATGATGGTCCAACACTCACCTGAAGCTTGCAACATTCAGTTTGGGTTAATGACCAAGTCTTTCCTGTTTTCCTGCCAGCATCTATTACAGTTATTAGTGGGAGGCAATGTCCATCATCCCATTTAACAGGTGACTAACCTGAGACAGAGTACAATCATGGCCTGAGACTTGCTATGTAGGCCAGGCTGGCCTTGAACACATCATCTTTTTGCCTCAGCTTCCCAAGTCCTAGGATCTCAGGCATGTACCGCCATACCCTGCCTTCAACCAACCAACCAACCAACCAACCAACCAACAACCAGAAAGCCTCCGTTAATAGTTTTACAATAGTTAAGGTAATCAAATGGTCTTTAATTTTCACAATTTTGACCTATCCCACCCTTTTCTAGCTATTCCATTGGAGGTTGTCCTTCAGGATATTAAGTATTAACAAAGTGGCATCTCTCCCTCCCACCCCACCCCCCACCAACCAGAGTGCAAGAATAGCTCAAAGTATTTACCACTTAGCCTCTAAACCCCAAATGCCACCCACCCCAAGATGTGTGCCTAGCCATCTAAAGTCTCACACTCAGTTATGAAAAGAATGAATATGGCAGAGTCCACAACTAAAGGTTAAATAAACACTAGCAGACCCCATGTGTGCTGAAATATAATACAGCCACTGAAAAGTAATTGAGCAACGCTTGCAATACAGGTTTGCAAAGTAAACTGGACCCATGCAGCTGTAGAACCCAATTTCCTAACACATACGGAAGGGAGTAGGAGGGAACACACAGTTTGTTTGTAGTAGCTGCCTCCAAATGATGATTTTATTTCCTTCTTAATTGTTTCCTACATCCTCCCAATTTCCTACGGCAAGCGAAGGTCTGCCTGTTGACATGCAGAGCATTCTGGCTGGCTTTCTTGCGGTACCCAGCTGAGGTTACTTACCTGGGTCCTTCCAGCTCCAGCTTTGTGGATGATTGGGTGGCCTTGTCCTGGACACACTTGGGCTGCACGGACCTCTCTGAACCAAGCCCAGTGGTGCTGCCAAGGGCACTGGAGAGACCACAGTTGCATCAGTTGTGTCTTAAAGGGCCAGGTGGAAAGCACCATGTGCCGAGATGTGGATGCAGACCTATGCAAGCTGGGGAGGAAGCCTAAAGACCCTGTTCTGACTGTCCTGCTGCCCTCCACTCGCACAGTCCTCTCAGTGCCATGATGAAGTGGCTGCTGGCTGTTTTAGCACTGGGTCACACCGGCTCCTTCATAGTCACCAGGATCCCAACACAGCCACACTGAGTCTCCTAGGAAAGGCTGGCTTTGGTGTGGTGTCCTATGATGCCTGCCCTACCTACCACTTCACCAGGCTCACAGCTGAGGCTGTCCTGTACCACATCCAGCAGACACTGCATGTCACAGACCCTGTGTCTGTTTCTCCACATCTGCTCACTCCCAGGGGCTCAAGCTCTTCACAGCTAGTCAAGCTATAGGTTTCTAGAGCCCATTTAAGTGAGCAAGCCCTTGCTGGCCCCCACACTCCAAGGGATACCTGAGGGTCTGGTGGTAACACGTAAGGTGCCAGCAGCTTCCACTATTAAGAAAGAGCCACTTGGGAAGGAGAGGAGCGGGACTTCCCCAGCAGGCTTAAGGATAATCACACCACATTGGTGTCATGCCTGTCCGTGAGACAGCCCGATCAGTTCTTTATGTTGTTGTTGTTTTGTTTTGTTGAGTCAGGATCTCTCTATTATGTAGGTCTGACTGTCCTTGAACTCAATATGTAGACCAGGCTGGCCTTGAACTCACAGAGATCAGCCTGCCTCTGCCTCCCGAGTGCTGGGATTAAAGGTGTGCGCCACCATGCCTGGCCCCCAGACCAGTCCTTGAAGCCAGTCTGACTCCTTAAGGCCTGAGTGAGGCTGAAGGACACCTTGGGGAGAGAAGAGGTGCTGGCCTTAGCAGAGCAGCAGTCCTGACCACACTGCCTGGGCCTGTGAGGTCCCTACCCTAGGGGTGCAGGAGCAGCCTCCTGCTGCAAGCTCTGCCCTAATCCACATCCTGGATTCATCAGCTTCTCTGCTGGCAGCTTCCTGTCTAGAACCCAGCAGGTCTTAGGATGTGCCTCAAAAGGCCAGTGGGGAAGGAGCTAGGAAGTTGTGGCAGAGGTTAAGAATACTGACTATATTTCCAGAGGACCCTGAGTTCAATTCCCAGCACCCATATGGCAGTTCACAAATGTCTGTGACTCCAGTTTCATAGGATCTGGTGGCCTTCTCTAGTCTCTGTAGGAACAGACAAACAGGCATGTAAAACACCCAGACACATAAAGTAAAATAATTTTTTTAAGTCAATAGGGGGCTTGGTATGGTGGCATAGGTCTTCAGTTCCAGGACTCAGGAGACAGAGGTAGGTGAAACTTTGGAAGTTCATAGCCAGACTGCTCTACATAGCCAGTTCCAGGCCAGTCATGGCTATATAGTGAGACTCAATAAACAAACAAATAAATAAATAAATAAACAGGTCCCTAGGGAACAGGTGTGATGATCTTGTTTGCCCTATAGTGAGACCCTGTCTCAATAAATAGGTAGGTAGGTAGATAGATAGATAGATCCATGAGGGACAGGTGTGGTGATCTTGTTTGCCCTATAGTGAGACCCTGTCTCAATAAATAGATAGATAGATAGATAGATAGATAGATAGATAGATAGATAGATAGAAGGATGGATGGATGGATGCATGGATGGATGCATGGATGGACGGACAGACGGACAGATGAACAGACAGACAGATAGATGAATAGAATAGGTGAATAGGCACTGGGCACAGCCATATCCCAACCAAAGCTGCCCAGTCCTCTCCTATGACCAGTATAGATTCTAGTCCTAGCCCTGGCCACAGCATCCAAAGGCATCTCATCTTCCAATGGTCTGAAACCCCAATATTTCTAGTCTTGTTACTCAGTTCTCTCCATGACTCACCCTAAGATGACCCATATCCCCTTACTCATGATTGTCCACATGCTGACCACGCAGGAGCTCAGAGCACACCCTGAACAAGAAAACAGAGAGACTTTCCAGGGAAGACAGATATGAGTGTTACAGGAGGGTGACACAGATATTCTAAGAGGAAAACCACACTCCCAGGTGTAGTAAATGAATTTTTCTTTGAGCCACCAGCTCATAAAAAATGACACGGAGACTTATCATTAGTTATGAAAGCTCAACCTATAGCTTAGGCTTGTCCCATTAGCTCTTATAACTTAAATTAACCCATATCTTTTAATCTATGTTCTTTTATGTGGCTCAGTTACCTTTACTCTGTACTGCCCAGCCTGCTCCCTCTGCGCCTGGCTCACAACACCACCTTTCTTCTTCCCAGAGCTCTCTCTGCCCAGAAGTCCCACCTATACCTCCTGCCCATCTATTGGCCGTTTAGTTTTTTATTAACCCAATCAAAGTGTAAAGGAATATTCCACAACATTTTCCCCCTTTTGTCTAAATAAAAACAAAAGGTTTTAACTCAAACAGAGTAAAACTATATACAATAAGAACAATTATCAGGTAAGAATTATATTTACAATGTCCAGTCCATTTGCATTTGGCAAATTTAGAGAAAATACTCCACTATCTATCCTATCTGAGACCTAAGTTTTATACCCAAACCATTTTTTGTCATAATTTATATTACCATCCTAAAATATCTTTTTAGACCTTAAAACATTTTTTTTGGATAAGCAACTTAAGCTTTTATGTTTCTCAACCTTATAAACTTTACATCTCTTATATAAGTTTCTTTTCTGAATTTAGTAACAAGGAAAACTGTAAAAGTATAACTATCTAGTTACATATATCTAGTTCAATTCCCCATCAGAGACCCAAGAAGGATAAAATATTACTTGAGGAAACAGGAAATACAGAGAAAGCAACTTCCAAAACTATAGAAATGACAGAGACATCTGGCTGCCTGGACAGTCACCCAAGGTTCCTCTGCAATGCTGGGGCACCCAACTATGGCCTTCAGGTCTGGTATATCTGACAGACTTTCTATGAAGCAGGAATTTTGAAAGACTGTCCTGCTAGTGGCTTTCTTTTGTGTCCTGCTTGTCCAGTTTGAACAGCGTACTGTCAGCAGTGAAGGCAAGGGCAGTCCCTTGCCCAAATGTCTAGCTTTTGCCATAAAGAAAGAAAACTCCATGTGGAGGTTCTTCAATGCCCATCATCCTTTTCTGAAGTAAATTGGTGCTGCCAGGAGCACATGTGTCTCACTGTCATGAAAAGCCTTATGTTATTAAAACATTAAAATGACATATTCTATAGGTCTCTAAGTGTTTGAAGACCGGATATCTATTTAAAATACATCTCTGATTGACCTTCAAAGTATACCTAACATGACTATAACTTCGATCGTTATAGATGACTATTAACCTGTATTTCTTTATTATCCTAAATAGCTTTCAAGGACTAAAACTTTACATTAATTTTTTAAATGATCTGCATAGGTACAATATCTTAAATAAGAATAGAAACATATATACAGTATAACAAAAACAACCTTAAATTTGTATCAATATACAAAAATCCACACCTTGCCGGGTGGTGGTGGCGCACACCTTTAATCCCAGCACTTGGGAGGCAGAGGCAGGTGGATCTCTGTGAGTTTGAGGCCAGCCTGGTCTACAGAGTGAGATCCAGGAAAGGAGCAAAGCTACACAGAGAAATGCTGTCTCAAAAAAAAAAAATCCATACCAATGTAAAATACTTGAGACTAGTGGTTGTTCAAAAGTAAGTTCAACAATCCAACCTTTTATCCCATCATTTCTGTATTATATCCTCCCTTTTTCCCTTCAGAAAGAGATCCCTGAATCTCATCTCCTCTGTTTAGCTTTCTACCTGACCATGACCAGTAAAAATTTGTAACCAACCCCCCTAAATAATCATAAATATCCATAACCCACCGAATGACCAAAAACCACCTACCCCACCTCTTGGGAATGTAGGTGTCATGCTCTCTTCCCTGCTTCTTGTTATCTGGGAGCAGTGACATTTTTAGGGGACCCTGAGAAAATTGGGATAATGGTCAAGTCCGGGGAGAGCTAGTCATAACATTTGCTGTCCAGTCTCTGTGCAATGGGAAAGTGCAGGGCTTATCTGAAGTCCCGGCTGGAGTAGTCTGTGAGGCTGGGTCATCTCAGCCAGAAGCCTTGAAGCTGTTCAGAATGCAGAACTCTGAGGAAACTGCAACAGAGGTACTCTGAGAGGCTGGATCACCTGGGCCACCCATTTTCATTGGTGTCTGGACACCCTTCTCTGAAAACACACAAACCTTCAAAGGTAACATACATATCTGCATTAACACAGGTATGGACTGTGCATTGCACAAAAACCAGTCAAAGATAATTTTTTTGTTTTGTGCTTGAGTAGGTAAAATATACACAACCTGTTTTGTAGTTTTTCTAGGTTTATTTCTTTATGTCTGTAGCCAGGATTTTCAGGGGCATCTTCCTCATTCAAACCTGATCTCTATCAACCTTGTAGGAACCCAGAGCCTTTCGTTTTCTGTGGAAACAAAAGCATAACCTCTTCCCCAAAGCAATACATTTTAAAGTTAAGGCATTCCCAAAGTATCTAGGGTGGTTTAATTCAGCAGTCCCTCTTACAATCCCATGTCTCTCAGCAGCTGTCAATCTCTGTTTATAAGCATTCAAAACATTTAATATCAATAAAGCACCACACAGGATCCAAATGCTATGTGTGTTTCCCATCTTTACATGGCTTTTAAAAAATATTATTTTATCCTCTTTTTAAAGACTTTATTATTTTAAACTATTTTTTCTCTATGACTGTCTATCCCCATTTTCTTTTTTTTTTAAGCCTACGCACATCTTTTAAATGCACTGTAACCTGTTTGGAGGGTTGTTTCATCTGAATCTGTCTTTATTGAGTACCTGTAGCATCCTCTGATAGTGTGAGACAAATCTCCAACTGCTATGTCAGTCACTGGCAAGGCTCAGCTTAGCACATGGTGCTGGCAGCTGGCTCCAGCCCACAGACTGTAGC